GGCTTAAAGTCCCTCCCGGAGGACTTGTTCCCTGAATTTTTCCACCCTTAAAAATTCGACGACCTCCACCGGGTATTTGAACCCGCGTACTATGAGTCATGAGGTGGGAACGTTACCTCTAGACTATGGAGGCCGCTTTTGTTAGGGTGATCAAACAAAGGAGAATATGGGTAAGACACTGTAGCATATGTGGGAGAAATGAAAAATGCTTACAATACTTTGGCCAGGAAACCTGAAGAGAAGAGATCACATGGGAGGCATATTATAATTGGAGGATACTACTGTCGTGTGTTTCCTAGGTAACGTGACAAGAAATTTATGTGGGTTTCGGATATGGCGAAGATGTTTATTGGGCAATCCCTTTTTACTCTCACAAATACAATTGTTCTCACTTATAACGCCTTCAGACGTTTCCTCTTCAACTGTTATACACTCTTGCACTGATGGTCTCAGTGAAGTGTCTTATGCTCTGCTCGGAGCTCAACTGTCTTTAGCTTTCGTCGGAGCTAAACTGACTTGGTCCTTGTCAGATACAAACTGACTTCTGTTATAGTTCAATACAAACTCTCTCGTTTCTTGCCAAAGTTGGACTGTTATATCCTGGACTTGGGCCAGATAGGGAACACCTTGTCGAAGGGTTTAGTTTCACTCGCTGGTATGCAAACGACTCTCTTGTTGCCATGGAAATACATGTTTACTGCCTCAAACAATCTGTTGCTTAGATGTTGCTAGCCACTTTGTAATGGTGGAAACTCCTCTGTTAGGTTCTCGTGTTCTTCAAGCGATTTCCTAGGTAGCATGCTTTCTCACTGTCCACTGCGTAGCAATGGATGTCCTATATTCTGGCTTTCAGGCAGCACATCACACTATGAAGATGTATCTTAAAGAAATAACATATGAGAATGTGGGCTGGATTCAGCAGTCTCAGGTATGGCTAGTATTGCAGGCTTGTATGAACATTGTAACAAATCTTCAGGTTCTGTCTAAAATGGGAAATTTCCTGATCAGCTGAGCAAGAAATTCCTGCAGTAGTTATGCCCTGACATCTACAGTCATATGTCCCACCCATGATTTTCATAGTTAAATACTTTAATCCAAGTATCTCAACCCCCCCCCCCCCAGTATACTTTAAATTATTAAAATTCTGTTTTCCATCACACTTCATTACTAAAATATTATAACAGATTTGCTCCAAGCGTTTCTAGGCAACGGCTAGTAAACATGGTCAACATGAAACAATGGAAGATGTGTCTCAGTGGACAAATATTATTGCTCATTGCTAGGAAACAGTCAGCACACCAATGAAGTCACTGGCAAGGAATCATGTGACTTGTTGTCTGTGTGGTCCATGTGGAGCCTATATAACGAAGACCTGTTGCAGCTTAGATTAGAGTAGTGCAGTGCAGTGTAGTTAAGAGTCAAGAGTGCAGCCGTGAAGAGTAGATTTTATGTGTCATATTCAGAGTATGTAATTCAGTGAGACTGTTATAGCTGCTGTGTTGAGATCTGTTGTCAGAAAACAACCAGTGAAGATGGAGAATCCTTTGCTGGAAGTTGAATAACTTTAAAAGTTTCTTTCTGATCAAATCTTACAATAAAGATACTACTTTCACTTACATGTGAGTATCATTGAGGAAAAGGCAGTGAACATCAGGAACATGATACTGAAGTAGAGGAGACCTATATTATCGAACACATGAGCAGCATCATTTCCAATCTTGTAATAAATTAACCCGATTAGAACACCAACAATCATGTGGATCGTTAATCGAGCCACTGTCAGAAACTGAAACAGAAAAAATTCTACATTTGCGAATCAATCTTTTATTAAATATGATCAACCTGTTAAGTGCTAAAACTCCTTCAGGACACTATTCTGTTAAGCGCTGATTCTTTGTTATTGAACAGTATCAGTGAAATGAAATCCTTCCTGTCATTTTTCTGACTTTCATACCACTGAATATTTGTGGCTTCACAACAGTGAATATTACGAGTTACTACCATGCAGATATAAAAACAAAAGAAGAAACCTTCATTTGGAAAGTACTGATTAATGTTCAGAATTTGCCATACACAAATTTATCAGGCAAATGTAAAACAAATGATTAAGCTGGAAATTTACATAAATGAAAATAGTTTAGTATGTATGTATATGAATATATATTATTAGGTAAGTAAATGGGTATGTGGATGTGTGTTATGTTTATGCTCATTTCAAATTTTATTTGGAACTACTACAAAATTATTAAAGGCAGAAACATGAATTTTCATTAACATTTTTCATTGTAGGCACTAGCTGTGTGCTCTGCATGGTCACAGGACTGGTTACACAATAAATCTTTTTGGAATATATGTACCTTGTCCCTGAGGATCAGGAGGAATGTTCTTTTAAGCAGACAAACAAATTGACTCAAGAGAGAAGTAGGATGGTCTCTGATATGGCTCTCTGTAGTATCACCATGCTTAGTTTCAGTCTCATGCACATGACTGTCATGGGCTGATGCTGGAGTAGGTGGAATGCAGGGTACATAGACAGGAATCATTGAACTTGGTGGCATTGCTCCTGAAAACAAAAACTTGCATCATGAAATCCATATTTTTTTGATGTACCACTGTCTTTAACATATACAACACTCTGAATTTAATTTAATTGTATTGTATTGTATGGCATTGTATGTATTGTGTTCTTTAATTAAACGTCTATGCATCCACAGTCTGTCAACAATTTAACAATTGTTTATTCACCATTTAACACTTGACACATTTTTCGGCCATAGATGGCCATCTTCAGGTGTCTTAATGCGTGCAAACTGTTACACTGCTCTGTTGTGTGCTAAAACCGCGAATTGCAGTCCTGTTATTTTTGAATGGATTGCAACGCGTTGTTTTAGCGCACATCAGAGCAGTGTAACAGTTTGCACGCATTAAGACACCTGAATATGGCCATCTATGGCCGAAACATGTTGTGTTAAGTGTTAAATGGTGAATAAACAATCGCTGCATTGTTGATGGACTGTGAATACATAGACGTTTAATTAAAGATCTGCAGCAGGATGCTGAAATACAGAATTATTGTTTTCTAATTATGAAGTGTAATTAACCTGAAATGGATATTACAGCTTATTATTTTTGAATACATATGATAGAGTAATTCTTCTGTAGTGGCCACACCATAGCTCAAGCTGGCTTCCCACTGCGGTGGCCCGGGTCTGGTAAAGTGGGATTTGTGGTGGACATAGTGGCGCCTGGGCGGGTTTTCTTTGAGTACTTTGGTTTCCCCTGCCAATCTTCATTCCACCAAATTCTCCATCATCATAATCACCTGGGGCAGGCTACAATAAGCCAGTCAGTGGCCGCCATGCTGAGTGGACCCAGTTGGACTCCCCCCCCCCACTAAGCAAATTAAAAGAAAATTCTTCTGTAACAGTAATTATGTACAAAAATTACCATATTCTTCATAAAACTATATCTTTGATACTCTGTTCTTTGCCGGCAAGCCCATAACAACCATTTCACAATACTTATGTTGAAGTGATTCCTCTCTACTTATGCTTTATTGAACATGCAACATGAACTTCAGAAAAGACCAGGCTTCTCACGGTTTTCAAGAAAATAGTTGTCAATACAGAACCATTAGCATTGAATCTGCTCTGGTCCTGTTACTATCGGTACTCAGGATTACTTCTGAATAAGACACTCATCTCTGCTGACTATCTTCCAGGTCATTCTTAAAGAATATGCCCTGAATTTTACAGACTGGATGTAGCATAAATATAGAAGAGTTCTATCATGGGCACAGTATGTGAAAACTGAGGACAAGAAGTAGTCCTGAGAAGAATTTCAACTGCCTACTTTCTTTTCTGCTGACTTTCTTCTACATCATCCTTAAAGAAGGAAATGGAATAGGTCCTGAATTTTACAGACTGGATGTAGCATAAATTTAGAAGAGTTCTATCATGGGCACAGTATGTGAAAACTGAGGACAAGAAGTAGTCCTGAGAAGAATTTCAATTGCCTACTTTCTTTTCTGCTGACTTTCTTCTACATCATCCTTAAAGAAGGAAATGGAATAGGTCCTGAATTTTACAGATTGGATATAGCATAAATTCAGAAGAATTCTGTCATGGGCACAGGATATGAAAACTGAGAACAAGAAGTAGTTCTGAGAAGAATTTCAATTGCCTACTTTCTTTTAAATGTTTCTTCTTCTCTCTGTCTCTAGAGAAGCTAGTGTAGGTTACGAATTATAGTCATAGTGAAATTTCTTGAATACCATGGATATAATTGAGGCTTTAAATAGCTGTTAATATACTATATATAATTTGTTCATAGTCTTACCATGGTAGGAGAAAGAGCTTCTTTCTGGTTGTCTTCTTCTCCAGTCATTACATTTTCCATTCTTTATGGCTGCAACAAGTGCTCCGTTGTGGTCTCCATACTCACCCGTTGACACTTCCAGCACTGAGAAATTAAGAGGACAATGAGGATGGATGCAGTGTTGCCAGATGTGTCTGGAGCAAAACCCAGTTATTGTTATGAACAGATTTCACACATGAACAGTGCTGAGTGAAGACCTTAGAATCCACTGTTTCAGATTCCATGAGAGACATTGAAATGCACAAAACAATTGAATTTATGAGAGTTTCTCCCTTGTATAATAGTGGAAACTCTAATGTAAGGAAATCACTTTGTAGCCAAAGATGTAGGTGTGAGAATAATGTTAAAATCCGTCTTACAGAAACATACTGGCATTAAAATCTTCAACAATCTACCACCAAATATCACAACTCTTATAGATAAACAGGGACAATTTAAAGTAGCACTAAAGAGATACTTAATTACACACTCCTTTTACTCTGTTGAGGAATTTATGCTTCCAAACAACATAAAGTGTATGTAATGTTTTCTCTTGTTTGGAACACAGGAAAAAAAAAAATCTAGTATATGTTAATGTATGGATTTATGATGGATATTTTACTACTTTTGTGAAATCCTTACTGTTTATGTGAAATTGAATTGTGCATGTATATATGTATTGTATGATTTTTGACAAATTCCACATCCGGTAGGTCATCTGACTAACTCATGGATCTATGGAATGCTATGTATGTATGTATGTATGTATACTGTGAGGATGTGTGCTGGATTGACTGACTGAAGGTTAGGTCTAATGACAAGCTTTGTGGTGACATTGAGGGGCCTTTGGATTCTATAACAGTATACATTTCTTAATACTATATCTGGATAATCGTAAATATTAACTTTTTATGTGTCTAATATTCTGATATTCTGAACAATTTATATCGTGACTATGATTCAACAGTAGGCTTAAAAAGGTTTATATACAAATTCATTCATGTTATCTCATTGGTATCATCTTTGATATGTGGCCCACATATCCCTCATTTGGATCCTAGCCAATACCTTAAGTTTTCTCCAGTCTTTTGTTAAAAATGCTATGATAGTAATGTCTGTGAAAGGGACCACTACTCATTACCAGGGCCCAGATTTTGATGACATGTCATCTTTTTTTCCTTGTATCCTATTCGATGCATCTAATATATATGTATATATCCCGGAGATGAGCTGCTGGTTATGGTAATGTAACTTTTATAGGTCATTTTTCGTCATTTTTAAGTTTTTATGTCATTTTTTCGGCAAATTTTTGGACTTCTAAGGACATTTTTTGTCATTTTAGCCATTTTGGGGAATTTTCCTTCATATTTTTTAGATATGTGAATAATATGGAAGTAAAATGTTCTCTCTTTTTCTCCTTCCTCTACAAAAGCAGCCTGCAGCTGGACCCCAAATATCTGATAACGTGGTATGCAATGATAAGTTGTAATCCTGTCCCGTCCTTTCCATTCGTTTTGCAGAAAGTGCTGACATTACATATCATAAAACATTTTACACTTGCAGCAGGGTACAACAGCGGTCACTCACACTATGGCCCATTCCAGGTTCTGTGCAGAGGAATTTGCTTAGTTACAAATATTTCTAGTCAGAATCCCTCGATTTTTATGACATATTGTTGCTCAATAAAACTCCGTCTGTCTTCAGTTTCTCGCCCTTGGCCATAGAGACAAAGATACAGTTGACAAAAAGTTTTCAGTGTGAAATTTAAGTTCTGTGTTGCACTAGCGTGATTCATTTTATTGCGATGCCTAAAACAAAGCCGTCTAAATCATGTCATTTAAAGCAGATTGTAGCTGAATTTGGAAATGGTATATGTGGTATTTTCAACTGATGATAACATTTTATACTGTAAGATGCGTGACACAAAACTGGCGGCAGAAAAATGTTTCACGGTACATCATCATATCGGCCGCAACAAGCATATATGAGAAGTGCAAACTTCGAACAAAAAGAAAGCTGTGCAAAGGTTACTGCAACAGTGTTCATCTGAAGGCGGACATAAAGTCATCGGATTCTTTTTTCACAGATCTGTGTGATGCTCTGGTGTCTGCAAATATTCCATTTTGGGCTCTGAAAAATGAAAATCTGAAACATTTTCTGGAGGTGAATTGTGGTTGTTCTATCCCGGATGAATCCACCCTCAGGAAAAAAATTACTTTTCCAAGTGCTATAACAATATCCTGGAAATGATTAGGACTAAAGTGCATGGGAAGAAAATTTTCGTTTATATTGATGAGACCTGCGATACGGAGGCTCACTATGTGGCAAACGTCATCATTAGAACCTTGGAAATTGACGGACCAGGTGAAGTGTTTCTGCTTACGAGTGAGGTGCTAGAATCCATTAATAATTCCACAATTTGTAAACTCTTTGACAGGTCGATGTTTCTGGTGTGGCCAGAGGGTATACGACATGATGACATCTTGCTTTTTGTGACCGATGCGGCCCCATATATTTTAAAAGCACGCAAGTCAATAAAGTCATTTTATACGAAATTGGTGCACGTTACTTGTCTATCCCATGCACTGCATAGAGTGACAGAGGAAGTGGGATCAAGAGTTCCTCAAGTGGATGCTCTCGTGTCGTGGACGAAGAAGATTTTCGACAAGGCTCCAGCTCGTAAAATGCAGTTTAAGTCTATGGCTCCTGGTGTTCCACTGCCCCTAGAACCCGTCATCACAAGGTGGAAACGTGGATTGATGCAGCAATTTACTATTGCGATCATTTTCGGGTAGTGAAAAGCACTGTATATTCAATGGCGATGGAGGATGCGAGGGCAACTGAAGCTGCTCAGGAACAGTTCTCATGCAGCGAAATGGAAGGACAGCTGGCCTTCATAAAGGCAAATTTCAGTTCCTTGATGGAAGGAATCAAATGCTTACAGGAGAAAGGAGCAATGTTAGAAGATGCGCTCCCTCTGGTGAAAAAAATAGCCAGTAATTTGGAGAAAGTGTCAGGGGACATTGGTAAAATGGTGTCAAGAAAAATGCTTAAAATGAGAATGAACTTAAAAGAGTAACGTTGAGTTCACAGTGCTATTAAAGTTTAAAAATACATTTTAAAACAATTAGTAGATTTTCCATGACATGATGCATTTTTAGGTCGTTTTTAACTTCTAGATCATTTTTCTTGATTTTTCGGTCATTTAATAGGTCATTTTTCTGGATTTATAGATTATTTTTAAAATATTTTCAGGTCATCAAAATCCGGGCCTTGCTCATTACCTCTGATTTTATTGTAGTACAGTGTGTCATTTGTATGCCCAATGTGCCTGTACCTTAGAATCATAAGGGCTGGTATACGTAGCTGTACCATCATTTTAACCCTTATGTTTGTGAGGTACAGAATAATTTTTGCATCAGTTCTTTTATTTGTAGTTATTGGAAAGTAAGTAGACAGCTGAGACTGTGCTTCCTTATCATTTGTTATTGTGAAAAGTTCAAGGAACACTGGTCTTCCTCTTCCATGCATCTGTAAACTTTGCATGACCCACAGTTATCTACAATCCAGTGTATATACCCAGTATAGGTTTATTTGAGCACAGTTCAAGAACAGATACAAGGAATAAGACAAGAATGGTAGTAGTTCATACCAAAATCTGCAGGGTTGTGGTACTGTGGACAGTCCAACCCCACTTCAGATAAGTAGGGTACCATACCCTTAATGCTTCCTTGATAGATGCACATTCCGTCTGCAATGACATACAAGTGATCAAACATCTCAAACAGTGTGGCACTTGGCTGGTGGATAGTGCAGACCACAGTACGACCCTCTGTAGCCAGCCGCTTGAGCACTGTTAAACACTGCCTTGATGTAGAACTGTCAAGACCACTGGAATATAAAAGGATTGTTACATGTGCATTTGTAATTTAAATACCACAGTTCTGTTGTGAGATCTGCACAGAGAATGGTTAATGTCTGGATAACTGTGAATATTAAATATGTAATGGAATGTGTTGAAAGCAGTGGGACTAGGATTTCATTTAGTGGGGTAAATTATAGGGGTGTTAAATAATCAGCAGTGAGATTCACATATCAACAGTTATTCATTCATTCATTCATTCATATTCCTGTAGCCCCCTCTGCAGTATAGGACATTCATGAAACACTTTCGTTTCACTTCAGTTCCTTAACATTTAGACAGTTGGTAGGACTCTATGGACAGGGTATCAGCTTGTTGGAAGGCTGCTACCTGCACAGGACAACACAAACACAGAATAAACGTAGACAAACATCCCTGTCTTGAGTGGGCTTCGAACCCACGACTAGCCGAAGATAGTTCATTCTCTAGACTGCACAGCCGCTGTGTTCGGCCATATTAACTGTACTCTCTGATAAATTTTGATCTGATCACCAACTAAATGAATTAATGAAAATAATTCTGGACAGAAGAGATACTTCTAGGCGTCCTACCAAGACCCCCCCCCATCCTCTCACTGGAGAAAATTGTAACTTACATCAATGTATGAGCTGGAAGGAAAAATAAGAGTGTATAATTCTCAGAGAAGTGTTTATGATCATGGATCCTTCTAGGTCAGTCAGCTGTGCTCCACCTGTATCACTACCATAAATTATAAAGTGTTTTCTTTTCTTCAATATGAACAACATAAACTTCTGGCAGAAAACAACAAATAGGCCAGTACCTGATACAAGACAGTGTTTCTCACTACACCCAGGAGACAAACACACTTCTCTTGGAATGATTATAGTTTGAATTCAGAGTTATCATTACTGAACACAAATGACTGAAGTTGGGCTTGAACAGGGATATATGTAATATTTCCTGCTATATTTCATCTTCTTGAAGTTCATGAGAATTAATGTCAAAATTTGTGATATATTTATTGTGGCAGCTGTTTGTGGTGAGGGTTGTTTTCTTCCCTTCAATCCCCAAGCTGGAATATGGCCCCCTCTCCACTTGTCTATAAATCTAACCTCGTTATTCTGTGAGGGCAAAGTGCTATGACAGAGATGAAACCCCCAACTTAAAGGCAGAGAATGCGATAATGTGCTGCCTGGTCAGCAAGACAGCATAGCTCAGGGAATGGCTATAGAGGAGAGTAGAGGGGTGGTGGGATGATGATTGAGGTAAAGTTGTCCTTGTGCTTAATTAGTTAAGCAATATGCCAAAAAAAAAACAACTGGGGTAGTGGAAGTATGTAAAAACTGAAGAACTCGGGGAAAATCTATTGCAGTGCTGCTATGTTGACGTCATGGATCTTGCATGGTGTCACTCAGTATTGAACTCAAGCTTCCACAGTGAGAAGGCAATACCTAACTTCCTCAGTAATGGTACAGCCTGGTTAAATATATTAAAATTTATTTTACTGGAGGCAGATTTTTGTGAACATGGTAATGAAACTCTGGATTCTGTAAAAGGCAGCATTTCCTTTTGGCTGGCCAAGTGATTATAATCTTCTCATGAAGAATTCTGCTCCAGAGAGTTAATTATTTAGTTAAAATAAAAATTTGATTTGAAAAATGCCATTTTATCCTGCAATCTGTTCATTCAGCATATTCTGACATCAAAGTTCTCACTGCCATCATTATCCCTTCTCCTGAACACACAAAAGGCTTTATAGTGAGAACCAGCAAATTATTTTTTATAAAGGAGAAAAATTGCCAAATAATCTAAGTACTTCTAAAAGATGTAACAAATAATACAGTTTTCCATCCATTTCTGATCATGATCTTTAATTTGACAGTAAAATTTACCTTGTTGGTTCATCAAAGAACATAACTGGTGGGTTGTTGACTAGTTCAAGGGCAATGGCAAGCCTTTTTCGCTGTCCACCAGAGAGACTTCTGCTTTTTGTTTTCTTCACCTCAGATAAGCCCATGGAGTTTAGAATTTGGTCCACCTGGTGGAACAGAAAGTATATTTTAGCAATATATATGTAAAAAATTCATCACTCCTAGCAGTTGGCATGTAGCATTTTTTACCCCTATACAACTTCTTTATTAACCGTCACAACACAACAGATATCAGATATCAGAGTTGTTGTTTACATTCCCTAGAGTATGGACAACAGTTTGTAAGATGAGGTACCGACTAAACAATTAACATTAATTTACTACAGCTACATCACGAGCCTCCTATACAATCTTATATACAAAAAGAAAAAAAAAAATAGAATATTCCAATTTGTCCATGGGAACGTACGAAAATACAAAACCAACGACTGATTCGATGTTATAAAATATCAATTAAAATTTTATTCTTGTTTTATATAATCTGATTTATTGTATTTTTTATATCAAGTGTTTTATATGTTTAATAGTAATGCAGTTCAGTGGTGTATATATGTTAACCATGTATTTGCCTGATGATGGCTGTTGATAGCCGAAACATGTAGCAGAGCTGTAGCTGGGCACTGATCTTGATATTTGTTGTGTTGTGATGGTTACTAAAGAAGATGTATATTGTAACAGAACAGGATACATGAAATGAAAATTTTTTACCTCTGTTTATAAGTCCCAGATGTTATAATCTAATATATCTATAAATTTACTTCATATATTCTTAGGCTTCCAAAGTGGATTGTAAGAAATTATTTAACTTCACATGCCAGTATCCTGTAGTGTGATTTGCCTGAAGACTGAAAGTTATTGAAGAAATATTAAATTCTTTTTTGTGAATGACCTCATTCAAGACTGCTCTCAGTGAGATTATGCTTTACTACACTGTTTATTTTCTCCTGGTTATTGTGTAAATTGTTAAATAATATAGAACAGTGACCAAAACCATGTTCTTCCAGTCTTTTGCATTATTCCAATACAAATATTGTAGTGTTTATCTCGTTTTTGAGTAATTATTTTCAGTTTGTGATTGTCTAGATATCAGTGAGTTTTAGTTCACTCTTATTTCATTTAACACCACTGCACCATCTTCTTGCACTCATCTTGTGACTCCTAGCACAGGACTGACTATTTCCTTTGTATCGAAGAGTTTCACCACACCCCTTGATACACCCTTGATACATCTATGTAATAAACCTTTATCATCAGGTACTTTTCCTCAACGCTTAAAATACGCTATAATGAAACCACTTTTTAAAAAAGGAGAGAGAAAATGCATCTCTAATTACAGACCAATATCCATATTGACTTCATTCTCAAAAGTCTTTGAAAAAGTTATGTATAATAGACTACTTGAACACTTAAATTCTAACAACATATTAGTCAAAGAGCAATTTGGATTTAGGAAAGACCTAACAACAGAAAAAGCAACCTATGAACTAACTAACGATATTTTAAGTGCTCTCAATGACAGATTAATTGTGGGAGGGATTTTCTGTGATCTAGCAAAAGCTTTCGATTGTGTTAATCATGATATCTTACTATCGAAATTAAATTTCTATGGAATAACTGGCAAAGCTAATGAATGGATCAAATCATACCTCAAAAACAGGTATCAAAGAGTTGAAATAAATAATAAAAACTCCAGTCATAATGCATTTTCAAACTGGGGAATTATAAAGCACGGTGTTCCACAAGGATCAATTTTAGGTCCCTTACTTTTTCTTCTCTACATAAATGATCTATCTAAAACCATCAACAATAAATCTAAACCAATTCTATATGCAGATGACACTAGTATAATATTTAAGAACTCTAAATTTGAAAACTTTAAAAATGACATAAATATTGTATTTGAAGCCTTAAACAGATGGTTCGAAGCCAATTTACTCTCATTAAATTTTGATAAAACCCATTACATATCATTCACAACTAAAAACAACCACCAAATTGATCTGGACATCAGTTATGCCAACAAATTAATCTGTAAAGTACTTGATACAAAATTCCTTGGAATACATGTAGACAGTACACTGTCTTGGAAAATACATATTGAACAAATTATACCTAAATTAAATGCAGCTTGCTATGCGATGAGATCAATTAAGCCTTTTATGTCACAGGAAACATTGAAGATGGTTTACCATGCCTACTTTCATTCTATTATGAACTATGGATTAATATTTTGGGGGAACTCTTCACATAGTGTAATAATTTTTAAAATACAAAAGAATATAATTAGAATCATTACAGGATGTAGAAGTAGAGATTCATGTAGAGAATTATTTAAGAAATTAAAAATTCTACCTCTTCAATCGCAATACATATTATCGCTTCTCTTATTTGTTGTTTACAACAAAGATAAATTCAAATTAAATTCTGATGTCTATAACATGAATACTAGACAAAAATATAACTTCCACCTACCCTCATCAACTTTATCAGTATATCAAAAAGGAGTCTACTTTACTGGCATAAAAGTGTTCAACAATCTGCCACAAAGTATTAAAAACTTGGGCAATGATACTAAAAAGTTTAAATCAGAGTTAAAGAATTATCTACATGCTCATTCCTTCTACTCTTTAGATGAATACTTCAATGTAAATAGAGAATGATGTAAAATTAAGTTATATTAATTTTTAAGCCAAAATTGCCTCTACTTATGTATGTAACATTTTGACTTGTTCTGTATCCAAAGGTACTAACCTGCTTAGGATTTATAGAATGTAAATAAATTCAATTCAATTCAATTCATGAACACTGCACACTACCTCTAAATGCTCTAAACACAGACTGGCATACTCATTAATTGAACCCACTTTTATTCAAGTGACATCATTCTTGAACATGCTTCCAGGATCTCAGCCAACCTTGATCTCCTTAGCATTCAGGACCATCCAGAGAGAGAGAGGTCAAGAAGTTTCCAGAGCGCTGTGTACACCACTGTCATACACCTTTCCCCCACCCCCACCCCTTGCTCTTGATTCACACCACATTATAAACATTGTGGAAAGAAAGTGGATATTATTTCACACATACGAATATAATGGATACTGACTAGTGAAAATGAGGGAACTTACCCTTTCCAACTTATATCTAGAGGAAAATTCAGGTCCAAGCTTGAGGCTGACAGCAACTTTCATGGCTTCTTGAACAGTGAGCAAAGGTTGAACTTTGTCATCTTGCATAATATAGCATGACTGTTTCCGAAATTGATGGATATCCCGCTCGAAACCATTCACTCTTACTGAACCAGTAACACCATTTGTACTACAACAGACCATAATATTAGTTGTTCAACTTTAACACCGAATGAGACTCAGTAATTATCTAATTATCTGGATTACTGCAGTGTTTTCATATCTTCTGTCTTGTAACCTACAGCAAGAAAATAAATGAGTCATGCTACTCATATAAAGTAACATTTCTCTCAAAGTTCTCATAAACTTGCATAAACCTTGTTGTATTCAAACTTGTAATCTGATGCATAATTCGTCAGAGTACTCTATAATGAGTCATATTTAATCAAGATCATTACAGGAATTTTTGTTAAATTCACCATTTTGTACATAAAGCTTCATGAAAAGTGTTCTTAATTTCAAGCTGCGAGGTTCAGAGTCATAGAGCATTTGTACAGGACATGAACTGATACAAATTCTAAGTGTAAAGTAAATCTGTTTAGCTGTTCACATAAGCTAATAACAGTTTTCTCTAGAATATTTAAAACTTGCTCTGTGTATATAAGAAAGTAAAACAAAATGCATAATTCTGTGTTACAATAAGCAATTTGGATGGCTTTGCTACTCCCCCAGTTTGCAAAAAACTGTTTTAAATTTTGCTTTGATTGAGTCTCTTTCAGCGTCCGAACTGCTACACTTGCCCAAGTGGCAGGACAGATTTAAATATTGCTAGAAATTGGGCAATTAATCTGGTGAATTTAGACACCTACAAAAATTATATAATTTTAATGTGTTCTGGGAAAAGAAACGGCATGGCATTCCATCTGAGCAATCAACCAATGGTATTGTGAAATATATAAATAGTAATAGTAATTTAGTGCAGATATACGTATATTGGGATGCTCTGAATTCTGTACACAATAAATTAAGTGCTTATGTCAATATTATAAACACTGTGACATAGTCTGTGTTATTCTGTGACCATATCTGTGTCAGTTCATGACATTTTTTTTTTATTTCCTTGCCACTACAGCCCCGCCTAGGCCTACCTCCATGAACTTCTCCGTTCACTTCGGTTTTTCTAGATCTTATACATTCAGTAGGACTCCTTGGGCAGGTGATCAGTTCGTCGCAAGGACACTACCTGTACACAAACACAGAAAAACGCACACACACACAAACTAAACATCCATGCCCCGAGTGGGATTAGAACCCACGATCCCGGTTTCCAAGCGAGCAAAGACAGTACATGCCTTAGACCACTCGGCTACCGTGACCGGCAGTTCATGACATTACATAATTTATAATTGTTACTGTTTAGTGTATAGTATGCTTATTTTTTTTAATATTAATTTATATAACTCTAGTTGTGATTGTATTTGTTGTAGCTGTAATTTTATTTACATTGTATGCATTGTGTATAGTGTATCCTTTATTTTTTATGTAGTTTTGTGTGCTGTGTTTTGTTTGAGTGTGGTGTGTTATTTGCATGTTGTGTCTTATTGTAGTACAACTGACACAAGTAAAACCCATTTGCAGTTAAAATAAATAATAATAATAATTATAAAACACCACATACTCTAGTTATAAACAAACAGCAGGGTCGAACACAAGAATGTCAGCATTTCCAGTACCAATTTAGTCACTGATCAACACTTTTAAGATTGCACCAGGACATGTTTTACCTTCCATACCACCACACCTACTGGCATCAGTGTAATGAATTTAGCAACTGTCACATCACTCAGTGAACAAAAACTCTTTGTCTTTAAATTAGCTGATCAATCAATAAAGGTAGTCAGAATGAGAGTTCATTAAATGTATTCATTCTGAGAGTCTTTAGAAAATTTATGATTTTCGCACTAAATTTGCATAACACCAGGACCAACTCTCATGAATGACATTCTGAACATTGTAATTTCAGACAGTGTTCTTCTGGGTTGCGATACTGTGTAGTCTTGAAGATAGATACCACCATTTTAGAGGAGCATATTTCCCCTAGCTTCACTGTTGTCACTGAACATGATGGCATCATTTCCTCCAGCAATACTGTATTGATCTCCAAGACTATATACTATCACAGGACAGAGCACAATATGAACACTGACCACCATGAAAACTTGAAAACTTCTTATATTGTAGTTCTTTTCATTACCTCATAATGAATTCATGCACATGAAGTGCAATTGCATTCTCCATTATCCCTCTCAATTCACCCTTCATGTTCTGCCACAGGTTTGTCATTTAATGCTATCTATAATAGAAATAGAATTGATGAATTACCTATAATGAAGCAGTAAGTCACCTCCATTGGTTTTGTGTATGCATTTTATTATCATTTATTTTTTTTAAGGAATTAAGGGAAATTTAAGTTCGGGGAATCTTTGCTACCAGGGTTCAGAATTCTATCTCCAATCTGCTATCTAAAGAAATTGAGAATTAGCATGTGATAAATTATAATAATTTTATTATTTCTTATGAAGTTATTGAAGGAAAGATAGAGGGCTGGATAGAAGTGACCAGAAGATGTGGAAGAAGATGTAAGAAGATGCTGGATGACCTTGGGGACAGAAGAGGATATTCTCATTTGAAGGAGGAAGCTCTGGATCGCATTAAATGGAGGAACTGTTTTGGAAGAGACTGTGGACCTGTCGTCTGATAGATTACTGATGAATGAATCATATGGCTAAAATGTGGTCACACATACACTATGGAAAGAGCATAAATTGGGCATGTCTTAAGAACAAAGTGCTAAGAAAATATCTGAGCTAAACATAAGGATGGAGGAAACTGCATAATTAGCTCAATAATTTTTGCCCTTCACCAAATATTATTAGGGTGACCAAACCAAGGAAGATTAAATGTTTAAGACATACAGCAGAAATGAAGACATGCGAAATACATACTGAATTTAGCTGGAAGGCTTGAAGGAAAGAGCCCACTTAGGAGACCCAAGACAATAATGGGAGGATAATATTATAACTGATAATAAAGAAATAGTAGGTGACACTGTGGATTGTATTTGTTCTTAAATAGATAAGCGACTGTTAGCTTATCAAAGGGGACTGTGCTACATGGAGTTAATGTGAACACAGAGAGGAACTTGTGTCTGTCTGCATGTTTTATCTTAAAAATTCGTGAAAGTATTTTGATGAAATTTTCTTTCAGAGTTTCCATTAAAATTTGTCTGGTGAATTTAGTTTTGGTTTTTATATATCTCTAACCTGCATGACTTAAATGAAGCACATATCACAAATCGTTTTTCTTGAAAGAAGAATGGGGCAAGCGGCGTTTAGGTATGGTGAGTACCTATTGAAGCACAGAGAAGGGTCATTTCTGACTGTGCAGGTGACAACTTTTCAACGGTATGCATCTGCAGCAGATGAATACCAAGGCCTGCCAGGTGTGCCAGTCTACTCCATTCTTGTTCACAAACGTGAAACCACTACAGTCGTTGTGACAGTAACACAATGGTGGCAGACGCCAATACCAGTCGACATCGGCCACGATCCCAAGCCAGTTCCAGCCATATATCATCTCTACAATCCAGCTTAATGTTATCTGTGCAGATCCACAGTCGTCCAAATGGACATTTCTCATGAATATTGTCACGTGTATATGTGTGTGACTATAGACGGGGTCGGGATTGGTGAATAGATTTATTGACCATTTATACACACAATTCATATATAAGTAATTATAGCGTCATCGCTAATCTTCACATTGTACACTTCACCACAGAACCAGCACAGCTTTTCCAGCATCCTGTGTCTTTACTAGTCGTTTCCTGGCAACGGCTTCTAACAGTGGATATTTTTCAGCTTCGGTGCTCACGTCATTACTGCCTAACGAATATCCCGCAGCTCAACTCAACTTACAGCCAACTTGGGGTCCTAGTTATAGCCTCTGGGCGGACCTAACAGAAGACACCGCTTTCAAGGTTGTTCTCTTGTTACGTATGGTTTCCTAGCTATAGCCTGAATATTGTTGACGTGTTTAGTGGCCGTTACCAAGCAACGCATGTTCCTTCTCGCGATCGTTGCACAGAAACGGCTGTACGCGCTACATAATTTAAGTTGTGGCATATTTAACGACGCTGTGAGTAACTCGGACTATACTGCGTCGAACAATTTGGATGATCGCGAATAAATTCGAAAGGCTGTGGAAGGAAGCGGTCGTGGCCTAGTTTAAGGCACTGTCGAGGCATATTCCTGGATAATCTGAGGAAAACCATAAAGAAAATCAGGATAATTGGTGGCCTGAATCGGACATCTCCGAAATATGTAAGAAACGTTACTTGTGCCAGCTTAATCGATCTCGCCATGACGTTTCCGCGACAAAATTGTGTGTGCATTCGTTGTTTCCCCTTCCTGGCCACATGGCCCGGCCCGTGTAATCACCACTTGCCTCGTTATTTGATATGCTAAATTGTTCACTTTATTTCTCGTAAGCTCAAATGACTTCCTACAACTCGTTTCCGAACTCTAGTAATTTATAACAGTTTCATCTTCTGCGATGTAACACCTTGTAATTCGTTGAAAGTAAACTGACTTGTCGGAGGAACATATCGCCTCCACTTTCAGGGTTGGAGAGTTAGCCGAACAAGAATCTGAACTTATTACCACCTTCATGCTGGTTTCTTGCTTGGCTTTCTCTTCAACCCTGAAGTTGGAGGAGACATGTACCTCCGAAACGTTGGTAGATTTTCAACGGACTACACCGCGTTATATCCCAGAAGATAGAACTCTTCATAACTACCACTGTAAGAACCTCAAAACCTGCGCTTGTAATTTATGTTGTTGCTTTAAAGTAAGAGTCCACATTTCACGCCCATGCAAAACAATTGGCAGTACTATATTGTGTGTGATTTCAAGATGAATGTCATTACTATCTGTAAACATCCCCCCCCCCGAATAATATTTATATAAATTTCGAAATGTTCTCAAATAACTTACGAATACAGTTTCAGGAAAGAGACCCATGCATCTCTCGTGAGAACACTAGACAGTGTGTTCACTACGTGTCTTTTCCATTTGACTTCAGACCTTGCCTCTAACGATGTATTTAATTAGCACATTTTGGTAGTACTTC